GCCACTGGTGTTACCTTCGCTTCTGCTGGAACCGGCTATGACAATGCTACTTCCAATGTTCTTGTAAGTTTTCATCGAGTTACTCTTTTGATTCTCTGTTTCAAGAAAGAGTACTTTGTACTCACATTCGAAATACTACTACGTACGATTTCCCATGTGACAACTAGGTGTGTGTTTATAACTATAACTCTCAAGCCTCCAAAAGTTGTTGAAAGAGAATTGACTTACTTGATAAGTTATTAATTTAGACTGTAAATGATTTCTAAAAAAATTAATTCTTACATTGTTGTTAATTTTAAATGTTAGTACTTTATTATAAAGCACGGTACATACCCTAAACAATTTATTTATTTTGGATTTTATTTGTTAGAAAAAAAAATCTTATTATTTTAATTTTGATTGTTGTGAAGTCATCAAACCATTTATAATCAATCTATTCAACGAGTTTGGATACTTTGCATTGCAGTCAGTGATTCCTCTATGGAAAGAACTGGAGTACTACAAGGAGTATCAAATGAAACTGAGAGCCTACCTTGGAGATCGTAAAGCGAACGCTGTAATCAAAGAGGCATTATACATGATAAGCGTGGGAACAAATGACTTCCTCGAAAACTACTACGCAATCCCAGGCCGTTCATCCCAATACACCATCAGAGAATATGAAAACTTCCTCATAGGAATCGCCGGAAATTTTACCAAGGAACTCTACGATCTGGGAGCCCGGAAAATATCGTTAGGAGGGTTGCCTCCAATGGGGTGCATGCCGTTGGAGAGAAACAGTAATTTTGCGGGAGGAAGTGAGTGCGTGGATAGTTACAACAATCTGGCAGCCGAGTTCAATGTCAAATTGAACGACTTGGTGATCAAGCAGAACAAGGAGTTCCATGGGATGGACATGGTCTTTTCAGATCCTTATGGCATCTTGTTGGAGATCATACGAAAGCCTGCAGCTTACGGTATGTTATAGATTTATTGTCAATTTCTCTTTTATTGGTTGTGCCATGGACTTTCATGCACCATTTTTTTCCCCAACCACCTTGGCCAGTTCATGATAATTGTTTTTGACTTTGGTAGTTAAGGCGTTACTGTTATATTTAATACACCGCTTGCTGCTGGTGCACCTGAACTCACCTCCACTGAATTGTAAGATGTTTAGGGGTACTGGTAGTGCTCCACTCATTCCTTCTTATTAAAGTTTGAACTCAAGACTTCTCAGCTATAAATTTGAGTTCTACTAGTATTAATTAAGTCTACTTGGAGACTACTTTTTTCTATCTAACGTTTCCCCAACAGCATGGGTATTCATACAATAATATATATTTTTTAAAATTTTTTAAATTGAAAAGTTAACTTTGTGCGTACCAATAAGTACTGATTTTGATTACTCTCTTTGATTTTTGTTTTTTAAAATATATAATTTAGAACCACATAATAAAAAATAATTTTTCTTCAAAATTTTACAAATTGTTTTTTCCGTATTCGAATATAAATCTCTAAATTATCGATCTTAAATTCTAAGAGTTCAAGTGTTCCTTTGAAGCATAAGTTCTGTGATTTTTCATTCAAATATGGTCTTGGTTTTTCTTATTCATATTAACTTGTAAAGGCTTTACGCACGACAAATTCCTCATTTTCTCTCCCCTTAGTTGTTTTTTATGAATAGTTTTGTCATCTTTTTTAACTATAACTTTTGGTAATTCATATAATATCTTGTCATTTTAGTCCACAAAATTAAGAGAAAAAAAAAAGAAAATAGACTTGCGTTAAGCAGTTGTTACTCCCTTCAATTTCGGAGTCTAATATTCCACTTCATCCTTAGTAAACTTGTTTAAAGGTAAAAAAATAAAGAATAAAAAGCAGTAAAAGTGAGAATTAAAAAGAAGCCTAATATTTTAGAATCTACACAATATATATATGTATATATTATAAACTCTAAAGCATAAAAAGGGAGGTTGTCTAATTGTTTTTGGATCGGTTGCAGGATTCGAGGTTACAGGGGTGGCATGCTGTGCGACTGGGATGTTTGAAATGGGTTATGCATGCAGCCGAACTAACCCTTTTACATGCTCCGACGCAGACAAGTATGTGTTTTGGGATTCCTTCCACCCTACAGAGAAAACCAATGGTATCATAGCCAACCACGTGGTGAAGACTGCTCTAGCCAAGTTTCTTTGACAAGGCAGATAATTAATGAATAAATTATAAACTAAGCCTAATTTAGTATATAGTGGGCAAATTTTCTGTATAATATAGTACGTGATTACCATAATAAATCTTCATGTTACTACTGTAGGCTTATTAATTATGTCTCTTCAATAATAATATGTATGGGTTAATGCATGGTTTTAATTAATAACACATATATGGTCGCTTAAATATTACTTAATCAAATAAATCAATGAATTAATAATTAAACATCAATGAGGTATAATTAAGCTGTTAATATTTTATTCTAGCAATTAAAGTACTATCTTTATGTCGATATTTAGCTTTATGTTTGATTTACTATCAAAGTTATAATTTTACAGACCATCAATAAACCATAATTTTATTATCAAAATTAATAAAGATTTGGAAAAATACTCTTTGCAGGGAGAGATGGCTCACTTAGGCTAGAATTTTTGTTTTTATTTTATATACTATCAAATTTATTTAAATTTAACTAAAAAAGAAATAGTATAATAATTATACAAAATATATTTAACTGATATATCTATAAATTGGGCCTATAGATGATGCAGTACTAAGATCAATTGCTTTTCAAGGTCTTGGCTTTAACTGTTGAACATAGATAGGTTCGGCCCATGGACATCTTTGAAGTATCCCAACCAAAGAAATCAAAACCATGCCACGAACATAGTTTGAATGAGTAGAACCATGAAATAGAGGATAAGCAAATGCACATGCTACTTATATCTATCTATTTATATGAAAGTAGGAGTCTGCGTAGTTTGATTTGGTTTGGCAGGAGGGTAGATATGTTACATTAAACTAATAAGTCATTTGAAATTTGGATCCTTTGGTAACCTAATTAGTTTAGCTTTAAGTTGGTTTTGATTTCAAGCTATTTACATTCAAGTTGTTTTTTTTTTTTGAAAGGAAAAACGAATTTATTGATCTTAACAATATGTCATTCCAAGTTTCTTACTTATTTAATAGAAGATTTTCTATGGCATAAATATCTTGTTTGGACATAAGATAATCTACACAATTACAAAATACTATTAACGCTCAAAATGTTATTGACAGTTTTGTGCAAGTTGTTAACTTGTTTAATGAACTAAATTTAAATCTGATTATGGCTTTAAATCACTTTTCAATAATTATATTTATTGATTTTTTACCAAATTAAATTTTAAATGATAGAAAAGTATAAATTTTTTAAATTAATTAAATTGAAATATCAATTGTCAATTAGTTAGAATAGAGAAGAGAAACAAATAATCCTATCCTCAACTCCTAAACATGGGGGGGAAATGGTGGAGGTTCATACAACAAATTATGATTGGCTGGGGCAAATTGCATGAATATCAAATCACATACCTTATATTTTGTTTTATGGAATAGTAAAAGAAAAATGATTATGTTATATGTAAGGGAAACAATGTCACATGCTTCAAGCCTTTCCTTAAATGTCCAAGCATTAAATTCATCTACAAAACATGTCCTTTGTGTACCATCCATTTCTTTTGGACCAGTCGAAGAAACTAATGGGAAAATCAAGGATGAGATATGTATATGGTGCACATAAGTGGCTTTGGTCTGCCAAATTAAAGCCTATTCAAAATGCTTTGAAAGTGAATGCACTCTTGATTTAAAGTTTCATCTCTGCGTATAGAATAGAGAGAAAGTGATTATCGACAAATCAATATCACATATTGATTTTGGTCTTTTATATTTACCGTGTAGGACATGAAAGTGCCCCGACTCAGTCCACCTTTCCAAGTTCCACTACCAATAATCCCTCATTCAAATTGGTAAAAGCGAGTGTACACATAACGAACTTCTTATTTCATTGTTGAAAATCTTTAATTTTTTTCAATTCTATTATCATCTCTGTATTGCTATTAATAAATTTGACTCGGTTTGACTCGTTCTTAAAATGATGAAAAGTAAATTTTTTATTTGAGAATTTAGCTTAAAATTTTAAGAATTAAAGCACTTTCACTTTGTGTAAGAATAAAAATCAAGTACAAGTATTGTTAAGGATGTCCATATATCTTATAAATTCAAGAATCCACACCCTTTCACTTTAAATGTAAATTTGTAAACATTATTGTGGGCTTGTGGGTATGTATACATCCATTCAGTACGTTTTCAACCTTGAAAATAAACAAGTATTAATATTATCTTTCCATCCATTCCCATATCTTTCTTTTTTGAGAGCTTGAACATATGCGAATATTGAAGATAACTTAATCAATATAATATTGATTGAGATGGATTACAATATATACCTATATATCTTGATATATCTCATAACAAAAAAATCTTGCATGCAGGTCCATATTTTAAAAGTATCAAAATATAATGTAAATCTCATTATTGGAATATATTTTATTGAATAAATGTAAACGAATATTACTTTAAAATAAATGCAAATCACACATTTGTAAATTATTAAAAATGTATTAAATAAGTTATTTTATCTTCGGTCCACTTTAAAAATATATATATATATATATATATGTGATCAAGTACAAAATTATTTTCATTTTTCCAACAACACATATTTGAAACGATTTATCTCCTATTTTCTTGAATAATATTGGTAAAACTAAACCACGCTCTAGATGCGCGTAAATCAAATGCTATCTAACTGTCCACTCAAACATTCAATTTAGAGGTACAAAAATGGAATGAAATTTCAAAGAGACTTCCGTCGAATCAAAGTTCAAACAAAGCACTCTTTTAAGTCATAACATTCACAAAAACCAAAACATAAGACCAACGCCTTGAAGAAACCACACCACCCCAAAGCAAAAAATTCCCCAACAACCATGAAAAAGCTCTGCAGCAAAGGCAAGGTGCACCCTTCACCACCATCACCAACCATCGCCGATCACTTGTCTTTGCTTCCTGCTACGATTCTCAGCCTCACCGCCGCACTCTCTCTCGAAGACAAAGAAGTCTTGGCCTATCTCATCTCATGTTGCAGCTCCTCTGCCACCAGCAGCAACTACTTCCCCTGTCACCGGGGAACTACAAGCAAGAGTATAATTGATGTTGGCGGTGATAACAAGGAGCATGATCCTACGTTTAAATGCAACTGTTTTGGGTGTTACATGTGTTTTTGGGCACGTTGGGACACATCCCCAAACCGTCAGCTGATACATGAGATTATCGAGGCATACGAGGAAGGGTTGTTCCAAGAGAAGAAACAAGTTAAGAAGAACAAGAAAGGAAGGAGAAAGAGAGTTTGTATTCAAGATGCCAAGCATGGAAACGATCAGGGAAGTTCTGGGAAGCGATCGGTTAACTTGAATGAGCGATTGGAATTTGTGGAAATGAATTGCCGAGGTGGTGAAGAAGGGGAAGTAGAATTCGAAAGGGGTTCTATCAGGAAGATTGTAAGCTACATCGGAGACAGTATTTGGGGAGTTTGGAATAGAAATTAATTGTTTGATTAAGAAAACAATACCTTCTATCTTTTGGTTTTTCCCCTTAATTTTCCCTTCTGTACATGATTAGCCATATTCTCCATGTAGAAAAGACGATCAAAAGAGTGTATATGCTCTATTTGATCTGCAGGTTGTTCTTCTTTCTTCCTATTGATTTTTTCCAGGTGCTGAAATCTGTTGTAATCCAACATAGCTCTGTTTTTCTCTTTCCTTTTTATTTTTTCCCAATTGAAGTAAGACTTTTTCCAATCTACAAGACTCTTCAATCTTGTTTTCCGGTAATTTTTGAAGCCATGTAATTCGGTTGAGCATCATTCCTATCATTATAGCATTAAGGGTAGCAATTTGTTCCCTATTTCCAGATGTAATATGATCAGTTTTTGGTCTAAACCAGTTTACTTAAAACGTTAAACGAAACAAGCAGTTGGTCAATATTATATAAAATTAGATAGATAAAGAAAATAGGTTCCCATCTTCTATGTATGTCAGCCTATACGTCTTGTTGTCAAAGAGGATATGGAAAGATTTGATATAATTCCACGACCTTAACATTGCTAGCAAGGAATATTTCTGGAAAATTTGTTCAATACATATTCAGACAAATTTTAGTATATGTAAATTTCAGATGAGTGCCGCGTTCAGAGATTAAAAATATAATATTTTTCGAGCTCAAGTTGAATTTGGTATCAGCGTATATTTGAGTGTTTCTGGTTTGAAAGTTTCAAGAGTCAACATTCTTCGGCGTTGATCAACAACCGTAGACAAGAACTAGCGTTTAGGGACTGGAATATCTTCGTATTTCTTTGTTTGACAAAGAAATTTCCCTTTCTGCGGTTTATATCAGGAGTTGTGAATGCTTCAACCTTTTGATATTTAGCTATAATTTTCATCATTTCAGGTTAAGATGCATGAAACCAAGGACCCATTATAGTCTTAATTAATGAGGAGAAGAGTGTGGGTCTTAATTTCATTTCACATGCTTAAAAGAAAATTATAGAACATAATCAACTGTGTGTATATATATATATATATATATTTAACCAAAAAGAAAAATATTATACTGTTTTCTTTATAATTATTTATTAGAATTAAATTTTCCATCGTCATGCTATAATAAAAAAAACCTTGGGTCAAATTCGTTTCCATGGAGAGAATTTAATTAACGATGAAAAGCAAGCTCACAACTAGTATTTTGCCACACGTCAGAGTTGAAAAAGAAAATAATACTCATAAGAATTCTTTTGACAGAAGATAGTTTTGTGATGAAATTAGATCACAATCAGTTTCTGTTACCTATCCTATGTTAAAGGAAAATGACCTAAAGGGTTTTATAAACTCAAATTTTAACTTTACAAAGCTTTCTTACTTACACTTAGGTGATACTTGATATCAACATGTATAGTATTTCTTTTCTTAATATATATAGAATAAGATGGTAATATTAATAAATTATAAAATAATTTTTATTATGAATATATATGTGAATGTTTATTATGTTATGGACTTTATGTCTTTTTGTGATTGAGTAAGATAACGAGCTATTAGTAAAAAAACATGAACTTTCTCCATTCTTTCAAGTAAATGCGACATTATTTATTAATTATGATTATGAATGCGGAAGAGGATAGTAATCACAATCGTGGTAGTTATACTAATCACTATTCTAATAATACATTTAACCATCAAAAGTGAATGGATACATTTAATTGTTGGAAGTAGATGGGTACATTTAACTATCAAAAATGGATGAAAGATATAAAAAAAAGATAAAAGTTGACGGAGTGAAAGGAGTATAAACAATATCTATTATTGATATGGTATGAAAGGTTATTGGTTACATACTTGTTATAGGTTGAAATATCTTGTTGAACCTTATCAATCATCATTGAAAGCTAAAATATATATATATATATATATCGAAACAAATTTTGTTTAAGATGTTTTGAATCATGACCAAATTGATAAAACGTACTTGGATGTTACTAATTTCCTTGTCCCCTCTAAAAAAGGGATTAATCATTTGATTAGTGATAAAAACATCCAAAAATAAAATTTTTTTAATAGTTTGTTGTTATGTTTAGTATAAATTTATTATAAAAATGAATATATTTTTATACCTACTTATTATATTTAAATGATATGTTTTTATTATACATTTTAATAATAAATTCTATATTTAATATTATCTTATGTTAATTTGCTAGTTCCTTTCTATATCTTATTTTAAAATATATATATTCATTTGGTTGGATTCAAGATCAATTATACAAATATATGTCAAGCAAATAATGCTACAATGCACACTCTATTTAAAGATAAGAAATATTCTTCTCCCTTGAAAATGGAAGAAACAAATATCAATACAATATCAAGTAGTACAAAATTAATTAAAGGTTCCCAAAAGGTCAATATTTTACTATATGAAGGAACAAAGTTTATAAGAAAGATGCATTATTTTCTACTAAGTTTCAAAATTTTTTTTTTAGGTTTTAAAAATATTTGTTTAAATGGATATCATATTGAGATAACAAATGAAAGAAATATTTAATAACTTTATGTTACATCTATTATCTTGGGTAATAAGTATGTGTTGAAAAAATTACTCATTTTATTCTCTGAATTATACTACATAAAGTATTAGAATGATTGAAATTTATACTATAACAAATCAGAATTTTACTAATGATTTTAATGTTTAGTATAACTAGATGGGTTATCTCAGATCAATAGTGATGCAAAAAATTATTGAAAGTACATGTGGTTATCTATTGAAAAATTAGAAAGTTTTTCAATCAAATGAATGCTCGTGTTGTTTGCTCTCAAGATAAATTAATTATAAAACTATCACAAGCTAAAGTTGGGATTGAATCTCATATATTTTTGAAACATATTCAGTGTGATATATGTAGACCCATACGTCTACCATGTGGATTATTTACGTATTTTATAGTTTTAATCGATCCATCGATTGGATGGTCATATATATAATTATTATCAACTTGCAATTTGGCATTTGTAAGATTATTTGCCTAAATCATTTGTTTGTAAATACATTTTTTAGATTTTGCAATCAAGACAATTGATCTTGACAATGTTGATAAATTTACATCTCAAACTTTTAATGAATATTGCATATTAGTTCGAATAATTGTTTAAGAGCCTATTCCTTATATTCATACGCAAAACCCTTTAGCACTACAAAACACTGAGCCTGTCTCCTTACTGTATAGGTGCCATACTGGGTTTGTTGTGTGCTATATACCATACCTCTATAATACTTTTTGGATTTAGGCCTTTTGAGATAATCCTAGGATACCTCTAGGGGTCTAGTATAATTATTTATTAAATACTTCTAATTGATTGTAAAGCCATTACTTATGAAATCTGAATTTTCAATTTTTGCTTGGAGGTATGCCATTTTGAATGCAACAATACATGGGTCAATGAGTTATTATAAATTCTCTCTTATACAATTGGTTTATAATCAAGAATCAAATATTTTTCATCTAAGAATTTTTAAATGTGCGGTATATGTCTCAATTACTCCACCACAATGCACAAAAATGGATTTTCAAATGAGGTTATGAATATATATTGGATACAAATCTCCATCTATAATTAAATATCTAGAACTATTAATAGAAGAATCATTTATAGTAAGGTATGCTGATTGTCATTTTGATAAAATAAATTTTTCAACATAAAGTGGATAAAATAAGTAGCTAAAAAAATAAATTTCTTAGAATGCATTATCTTTCTTTAATTTTGATCATTGCACAAATCAATGAGAACTTGAAATTGAAAAGATAAGTCATTTGCAAAATATAGCAAATCAATTGCTAAATGTATTTACTGACCTAAAAAGAAAAATTAAATCTCATATACCAATTATAAATATTCCTATTAGAATTGATGCCCTTGTAGGACAAGGTACGCTAAAACTGTAGGAAACCAATTGGTTTCAAAAATAAAATTCTTAAAAAAAAAAAGAAATATATAAGATGATTAGAAAAAAGGAAACAGAAACTCTAGAAAAGATCCCCGACATAATTGATTAAATTTATTTAAAAAAATTAAATACTTGAAATCATTAAAAATGAAGAAATCTCAACAAATTATGTCATAAGAATGAAAGTTGGAACTGAAATGAAGTAAACGTCGATGATATTTTTGCATATAATGTAACACTCAATATTATGAAAAAAAATGAAAATCTTGAGCCTACATTTGTTGAATAATATAGATATAAAAATGATTGATCAATATAAAAAGACCCAATCAAGACAGAATTGAATTTACTTGTAAAACGTGAAATTTTTTAACTTGTAGTCCATATAACAAATGGTATAAAACTAGTGAAATTTAAATAAGTATTTGTATGAAGACATTGTAATGGAATTAATATATAATTCGATATCTCTGAGAAACAATGGACATGGGCTTATATTATTCAAATGCATTGATTATGCAGATGTAGAATATTTATTTGATCTATATAAGGCTCGATCCCTAATAGATTATTTATTCACATGTGAAGGCATGACTATTTCATAATATTCTGTAAAACAAACTATATTTGCTATTTCTTCTAACATTATAGAAATTTTGACAATTCTTGATGCAAGTTGTAAATGGGTCTAGTTAAAATTTGTAACTCAACATATTTGAGGAATAAGTGACTTGTCAATAAAAATAAAATTTTGACAACGTTATATGAAGATAATACTACTTGCATACTCCCAGGTAAAAGAAAGCTATATTAAAGGTGATAGGACAAAATATATTTCGTTAAAGTTCTTATTCACTCATGATCTCCAAGAAAAAGATAATATTAGTGTTCACCAAATTTGTTCAAGTGATAATCTAATAGATTTATTCATCAAAGCTTTTCTTATTGCAACATTTGAAAAGTTGATACAAAAAATTAGAATGTATTATTTTAAAGATCTCAATTAATTTAGTTATCAAAGAAGTAAAATATGCACTGCAATCTTTTC